TTTTTTTTTTTTTTTTTTGTGTAAATAGCTTCAAGCTGATTATTGTTCGGTTATTTATCTCTACACCAAAGTTCTTGTTTTACCTTTGTGGTTATTATGCAAATAGCTTATTTTGAAGAATGTATGTATTCTTTAAGGTTTCTGCTTAGATTCTATATTAAAGCCAGTCCTGCTGATGAATGTAACATTTTACTTCTGGTTTTTAAGATGATCTTTATTTCAGAATCAGATATTTGTTGCCTGTGTGCTGTAAATTATGGTAAACATTGAAGTCAACGCATTTAATCTCTGGAAAACGGGTAGCGTATTCCTGGTACACTCTCCTCTCTTATTGATCAAGATACATTTATGCTCTTTATGCCCGATGTTCTTTAACTGTAACATGCTTATTGAATGGAACATTAAAATTTCCCAATATAGCCAGTATTCCTAATTCCAAGAATGTTGGACCATGTTTCTTGTTAATTATGCCACAATAATTTATAATTTTAGCTTAGTTTGGCCTGAGTGTTAAAATTGTGTAAAACAAAAACAACTTTAATATTGACCAAATGCTATGCACTTCACAAGTGTCACATTTGTTAGTGTATCCCTTGCTTCATTAAATTTTCTGTTACAATGTTGTGAACTATTGATACAGAAAATGTTCATTTAAATTTGAAAATCTTGGGTTTTTATAAGGTTTGTAGGGTCCAAATAAACAACTCTGTCAGTATCTTGATGTCATTTGTCATTTTTAAGTGCCGTTTTATTTCTTTGTCATAGAAAAATAAAACTAATATGTAATTCAATTTGAAATTGAATTACATATTGATACTGGTGTAATAGCAGTGCTTCAGATTCTGTGAAGTTATCTTGATGTTGAGCTTCGACACCAATTACATTTCTTCATTGCATAAGTCCAGTTTTATTCAGATTTCATGTAGGACGGCACAAAAGAGTAACTGCAGCGAGAGCCTACAGCTGTCTTTAGACTACTTAGAAAACCAGTAGAAGGTTTATTTCAGTCATTTTAGTCAAAAGGGAAAATTATAGCCATTCCTCAGAGTGACAAACATCAAGTTTTTATATCTGGCGTATATTGTGTGTGTGTGTTTTTTTAAAAAAGCCTACAACTAATACACATTACAAATGCAGGTTCTGAGAATATTTGGCCTCACTGAAGAACATGTCCATGTACACATTTTTTCTTCCGCTCAACTTTCTGTCAGTGTGCTTGGACGCTTCATTTCGAACACCCAGCTACTTCAGAAATGACATTATGCTTAAGTTTACTCGTTTGGATGATTTCCCAGTTTTTGTTTTTTTGTCCACCATAACATTTCAAACTGTTAACATATTATTATGTTGTTATTATTATTATTACTGAACGGCTGTATTTCTATTTCACTTTGCATAATGGCAATAAAGACCCTTTATGTCCAATTTCCAGCTGACCTTGGCCAGCAGATGGAGCTATACTTCTTCTACTTATGCGCAAACGCTTTGTGTGGTATAGAGTCTGATGCTGCTTAGTACAAGAACATTATGCAGCTTTAGTTGACCAGTAACACGGTAATGCTTTAAATCACATAATGTTGGAGAGTGCTGTTTTCCATAGTTTAATTATGGTTAACCAGAAATTTGCTCTTTACAAACAAACCGTAAATCTCTTGTTGGGAAACAAAATAATTGATCGCATAAAGCTGATGCTCATGTGGTTTTCTTTTTGTACAATAAGTTGCTTTTGTTTTTCTGTCTTTGATCAGCAGGGCAACTGTATGTTCATTCATCTGAAGGGTGGGGCCGAAGGACGCTCCTTTCTACAGAGCCACAATGCCTCTCACTGTGTTTGGTATGTCAGCACTGGTTTTAGATTTGATGAGTAAGCCTTCAGATGTCTCAGTCTGCTGGATATAATATAAAATGTACCGATGATTTGACCCCAGAGTTACAAAGTGGAATAACTATAATTTCATAATGTGTCATCAAGATCCATATAATTACTGTTGTGTTATAGTCACATCTCTGACACTTCTTTTGATCTCTTGCTTTGGGGGTTGGATAGGTTGTGTGTAAGATTTTCATATGATTAAAGAGTCTGAATGGAACTGGATAGCCCTCCTGACTGATGAAGTAGTAATATATTGCTAATGTGTATAATTAATCAAATCTTTGTTGTTCATATTTCAATAAAATTATCATTTAAGGTTTGTTTTTTCACATCATAAACCGTATGCAGACGTAAATATTCTGCTACTACTTAAAAATATATTGTAGTTTACAGTGAAGATGTTATGAAAAAAATCTTCCACTTATACACATAAATGATACAATTGGACAAACAGATTCAATTCATAATCAAAATCAAACAGATTTAAATCTAATGGGAGATATTCCCACTTTATTATCATATATGTTTACACCAATTGGTAAAAAAAAAGTTTTCTGGGGATGCACAGTGAGTCACTGATTTTACAGTGACTTCTTTTCCTCAGCAAACATGTGGCAACAGTGGTCACTTTATTGAATGCAGTCATCACGTAATTAATGGCAAGAAGCATTTTTAGTAGAAAAGGTGAGGCATGAAAACCTAAAGTCACTGTACCAAATATTAGGCATGTTGGTGGTAGCATGATGCTGTGATTCTACCACCAGCTTGTGGTCAGGGGAATTGCAGAAAGAGGGTTTGCTACTGAAAAAAGAGGATTCCTCCAACTTTACTTTTCCAACAAGTCTATGATTCTCATCAAAACTAATTTTAGAAAGGTCAAAGCAGGCAAACAGTAAGGTTCTGCAAAGGTCCTTCCAACGTCCTCGGTTGCAACCCCAGTAAAATTTGTGTGGCTGTTTTTAAAAGATAATTTTGGGAGAGAAAATAAAAGGTGATACAAATTGGTGTGTAGTTGAGCTGAAGCTTGTAAATAAGCATTTTTCCAAAGTTTTTTTTTTTTTTTTTTTTTTTTACAAACCAATAAAATTATAAACGTCTGCCTACGGTTCTTTTGTTTATTGTTTGTAGTCAATGAAAAAAGAACTCTGTAATTATGACTCATCATGACTGTAAGTTGAATCCAAAATTTGAATAGCCACTCATGGCTATTGTTTTCCAGTTTGTTATTAAAATTAGGCTAAGGTACATACTATTAGCAATCCATTTTAAATTTTAGTAGATGTTAAACTTTAGTTGGCTCTTGATTAAACCGCTTTCTCTAGTTTGGAATTTTGTTTGCTGCAATGACCCATTTTACGCACTAGAGGGCAGTAGAAGCCTGTGAGCAGTTTTCTGAATGGCTCGCCTTTGTTAAGGACTGTCGTGTCCAACAAAGTCCAATTTTCTCGTTTTGATTCACGTTCCGTATAAAGTTGAAAACATAACTCTCTTGTAGTTTAATTTTATGTTTATTAAATTCATTCTGATGAATAGCTTTCCTCCCAAAGAAATATGTATTCAGAAAGCCTGAAATTCACATTTTCATCTTAGATGCTTTCTGTCGCAAATAAAACATTTCCTCCTGTCAGAGATGTCTGGCCAGCTGCTGTGAGGTCATATTAGATCCGGAGACTCATTATATCAACAGACCAAAGGAATGCAAGAGTGGGGTTTAAAAAAAAAAAAAAAGCAATTTCCGAACATGGGCTCACTCTTTGCGGGGGGACATACATCAGCAGGGAGGCTGAACTTTCGCAAGAAGCCCATATGTTGGAAAAACGAGAGCTGGAACTGCCCCCCTTGTTAAGTAGCCGATAGTAGAAAGATTCTTCCCACTTGGAAAAAGGCTTTTCCTCCTAAGACATCTGGCTGGTGGAGGCTCCGGTAGTCCCCACAGAGGACAGAGGGGTCCATTTCTCTATTGGTTTAGAGAGTGGGGGACTTCAAGCAGGCTCATCTCATTATCTGCTCCCTTTAGTTTTTAACGGGAGCTTTAACTGGTAAGTAAACGCAACTTTATTTAAACTATCAGGAGATTTGAGACTGGTGTTTTTTTTCTTTTATTTAATCTTACAAAAAAAATCGATTTTTATATATCTATATATTCTAATTCTTTACTCTCTTTTTTGCATATATTAAGTACACATTGAGCCAAAAATAATAATAATTAAAAAAAAATTGGTTTTAAGTTAAGTCATTTTTGACTGATCTCCTTATTAAACTGAGGAAAAATGTTCAAATGAGATGAACCAGTGTTAGAAGTTGCAGGGCACATGTGCAGAGGAGTGTTCTTGACTTCATAATTCAGAACAAATGATTTTCATATGCCAACAAATCCATCAGTGCCCTTCTAGATGCAGTTCTTCTGCTTGTGCACCAGGCGGAGTGCGGTACCTGATCATACAAATTGTTGCGTTTGAAACAACCTGAAATACAAATTTTCATTTGTTTTTTTGTTTGAAAAAACAAAAAAAACAATGTAAATTTACAGCAAACACTAACATGATGTGGACAGTTTAAGCTCACTGATTTCCTCTAACACTCTGTGAAAAGAAATTGAGGTTTTTTTTTTTTTTTTTTTTTTTTTGTTCAAAGGTAGTTTTTTGCCCCCCCAAAAGGGGGACTTTAAAAAGCCCCCCAGGGCATTAGAAAA